AGTGGTGACTTTTTCCATCTATTAAAAAAATTTCATAAAATTCCTTTTGACACACAGTTTGTAAAAACCCCAGTGAGTGTGCTGCTGCCTGCCACGGGATGGTGCCCTCTGTACCTGCCCACTAAGGCTGGATATTGTCCAATCTTTGTATCCAAACTAAGCAGGTGCAGAAAGCACCATCTTGGGGCAGGAAAAAAGTATTTTTTATCATTTTTTTTTAATAGATTAAAAAAACTACACATAACAAGGACCATCTATTCCTCCAAAGAAAGTAAGATACCAACAAAACAATGTTGTATGGATTAAGGCATAATATAGAAATACTATAGTACAGACCTGGTCCTCTAAAGACCGATGGTGAACAGATAATTCCACAGGAGCAACAATTCAGCAGGATTACTGGTCACAGAAAAAAAAATAAAAAAAAAAATTCTGCGCGGACACCTTGCAGCTCAAAAACATTTTAAAAACTTTCTTAGTATACAGTTTACAGGTTAGAAAAGTGCATTGCCTACTATAAGATGGTGCCCTTAGCACCTGCTCAGTAAGGGTGGCTATTACTTAGTCACAATGTGTAACTGAACAGATACAAAGTGAGTGTGCTGCAGCCTACCTACCACAAGATGGTGCCCTTTGCACCTGCTCAGTAAGGATGGCTATTACTAATGCAGGCCATAGATGGGGAGAAAAACCGCCGATTTTTCTTTAAAAAAAAACGAAAAATCGGTCGTTCAATCGTCCAACGTTACCAGGAACAGTAAAAAAAAAAAAAAATCGGCCGATTTTCATCCCGTCTACAGCCGGCAAAAAGTGTCTCTGCAGAGAGCTCCGCTATTTCTTTGACAGTTCTTTGACATTTATAGCGGCTGCAACATTGTACTATTTGTATCAATTTCGGATACAGATTTTTTTTCTTACATTGTTCGTTATAAATTCAAAGAACTGTCAAAGAAATAGCAGAGCTCTCTCTTCTTCTTCTTCTCTTTTTCTTCATCTTCTTCTTCTTCTTCATTCTTCTTCTTCTCTTCTTCTTCTTCTTCTTCTTCTTTCTCTTCTTTCTTCATCTTCTCTTCTTCTTCTTCTTTCTTCTTCTCTTCTTCTTCTTCTTCTTCTTCATCTTCTCTTCTTCATCTCTTCTTCTTCCTCTTCTTCTCTTCTTCCTCTCTCTTCTTCTTCTTCTCTCTTCTTCTTCTTCTTCTTCTTCTTCTTCTTCTTCTTCTTCTTCTTCTCTCCTCTTCTTCTTCATCTTCTTCTTCATCCTCTTCTTCTTCTTCTTCTTCTTCTTCTTCTTCTTCTTCTTCCTCTTCTTCTTGTCTTCCTCTTGCAGGTCACTGCTCATGCGCAGATTGTTTATCGGTAAAAAGATCGGCCGATTTGCCCATCATTGCCACGAAAATCGGCCAATTTTTTTCAAACTTTACCGATAAAAAAAAATCTGCCAAAATACCGAAAAAAAAACGGCTGACCTACTAACCCACTAACGATCCGAAAATTGGACGATTTTATTTTCGGCTGAAAAATCGGCAGATTTTCGACCCATCTATGGCCTGCATTAGTCACAATGTGTAAACTGAACAGATACAAAGTGAGTGTGCTGCAGCCTACCTACCACAAGATGGTGCCCTTTGCACCTGCTCAGTAAGATTGGCTTGGCTATTATGGTGTAAAGGGCACCATGTTGTGTCAAGCAGCACACTGACTTTTTTTTAAACTTCAGAGAGGGGAAAAAAAAAGGGGAATGCACTGACAAGCACAGGATGGTGTACTAATAGTGAACATTAATGGGCAGGTACACAGAGCACCATCTTGTGAAAGGCAGCACATTCACTGATTTTGTGTTAAAATGGCATCCAAGACAGGAGAAGTGGGACTGTGCAGAGGGTGTGGTTTCCTGTGGAGCAGCTGCAGGCTGTGTGGTGCTGACCTCCTCTGATGTCTGGTACAAGCCCAGGGTTGGGCTGCCCTGGGCTGGGACACCTCCCAGGCGAGTCCCAGGCTTCTTGGCTTACACATGGAGATCCAGGTGAAGCTGTGGTTGGTGGTGAAGCGGGAGGATGGAGTTCGGTGAATGGAAAGCAGGTGGCAGAGACTGTGAGTAGATGGGGGAAATGTTGGTGATGGAAAATCCAGTGTGAGAAATTCTGATAATACAGAGAAGATGAAGTCAGTCCAGCAGTGTGATAATGTCTCTCAGCAAAATGTGAATTCTGGAAGTGCAGCTCAAGGCAGTCCGCCATTGCAGCCACAGCAAGCCCAGTAGAGCAAAGCCCAGTCAGCTCAATGTCCAGCAATGTGATGTAGTCACCCAGCACAGTCCAAGCCATGGAGGTCTAACTCCATGCAGTTCGCCATTAAAGGCACCACAAGCGCAGCAGAGCGGAGCCAATTCAGTTCAGTCTAAAACAGCACACTCTAAGCTCTGGAAGTGCAACTCAAGGCAGTCAGCCATTACAACCACAGCAAGCCCAGCAGAGTGGAGCTCATTCAGTTCTGTTTAAACAGCAATGTAATGTTGTCACCCTGCACAGTCCAAGCCATGGAGGTGTAACTCCATGCAGTCCGCCATTACAGGCACCGCAAGCCCAGCAGAGCGGAGCCCATGTTCGTGCAGTGCAAAGCCCATGCCATGCAGAGCAGGGGATCAGGATTTCAACCGTCCTGCAGATATGAAGCAGAAAGGGTTAAAATCATCACCTGTGTGCTGCACCTAGCTGACAAGATTCCTGCTCTGGTGAAGAGAATGGAGACCCTGAGGAAAACTAAGGCTAAGATCCAGAAACAGATTGACTCTGTCTACAGACTCAAGGCTGCCAACCCCAAGAAAGAAGTCCTATATTATGGCAAACTTAACTCCCTGGGCATTGAACTGTCCAGTATATCGAAGGACATTGATGCTGTTCTGGAAGAACTGGGACCAGTGGGGGAGGTGTACCGAAATCGCGATCAGTTTGAGGCACAATTAAGTGTAAAGATTGAGTCTTTTTCAGAGTCAGACATCAGGGAACTGGTCCAATGCACACTGCCAACAAATGTGCTTCCTGAAAGACAGATTCCAGCTCTGGAGGATAGCGGTAGCATCGGTTCAACCCAGCAGACTCTCACAGTACAGGAAACCCAGAGAAGTGAGATGGTGGATTCCCAGCACATGGATCATGTGAACAGTGTTGCTACCCCCAATTCTCATGGTGGGATCAATGCTGGGGGGATTGGTGTTCAGGATGGGGTAACTGATAATGATGTGGATGTAGCTGCTGATGCTAGTGGTGATATGGTGACCAGTGCCGATATCACTAATGTTGATGTAGGGGTTTCCGATGTCACTAATACTGATGTAGGTATGTCTGAATGGGGTCATGACCAGTCCGAGGACCCTGAGAATGTGGCAATGGAGGAGTCAGTTCAGAATAACCCCCATGACTTCCACCCTTTGGTCAAGCCGCCACCTGCATCACAAGGGAATGGTGGTCCATCTGGCCATGCCCCTCCTCGGAATGCCTGGAGCCATGGGGCCCCTTCTTTTTCCAACAGTACCAGTTATACTGGTCAGGCCTTTAAGAGGAGGAAACGTGTCAAGCATAGGGGTTCCAGAGAAGAGCTCCCTGATAGGAGGTTTGTAGTTAGGGAGTTGCTGTGTCAGCAGATGGGGTTTGTGCCTGCAGATATACTGACAGTCATCAACCTCCCAGACAGACAAGGGTATGATGTCAGTTCAAGCTCATGTCTGACTTGGACAGGTTCTGGGCCAGCTTTAGTAGGTTTCGGGACAAAGAGGGGTGGAAGAATTTCAAATTCATCCCCATCTCCAAACCTGACACAGCAAATGTTAACATCATTTTCTGGAATGAGTCTGTGCCCCCCCAGGATATTGTAGACTGGCTCAGAAGGCATTGTGAGATGGTTTCTGATTTGACCAAAACTAAAGACAGTGATGGGATCTGGACTGGGGGTTGGAGGGTTCTGGTTAAGTTGAGGCAAAAAAACAATGTCACCCATCACCTGCCAAACTCTTTTTTCATTGGCGGGAGAGAGGAGTTTGCTTCTATGCAGGTCAGCCCAGGTTATGTTTCAAATGCGGTAAGTCTGGTCATGTGGTAAGTGTCTGCACTATCTTGAAGTGTCATCTGTGTGGGGAGGTCGGCCATGTCAGTTCTACCTGTGAGAACGTTAAGTGCAATCTATGAGGTAGGCTTGGCAATTTCCACAGAGATTGCCCGGTGGCCTTCCATAACAGGGATGAGGAATCGACAGATGAATAACTGCTGGTGGCAGCAGAACACCTAGAGGAGGAAGCCTTCATGAATGGGGTTATATTAACTGAGGGGGAGATAAACCCAGAGGTCCAGGGGGCCAGCCTCGGGCAAGCGGGCAGTGTTCAGCAGGCTAAGGAGCAGCGGCCGTCTGTGCTCTTTTCATCTGTTTCAGTTCCTGCCTCTGTGGAGAACATTCCTGTGCAGAAGAGAAGGAATAGGAAGGACAAGGCTACCCGTAAACCTGAAAGTGAATGGACCCTAGTGCAGAAGTCCACTAGGAAGGTGAGAAGGGCGCCAGGAGTTGGTATGGCAGTCTTCAACCTGTATGATGTCTTATCAGAGTCGGATGCCGACTCCTGTGTTCTAGAGGCCCAATTGGAGGAAGAATTAAAAAGCGTGGAAAGGGAATATGCAGCTAGCTCAGGGGATGACCTGCCCACTAAGAGGCGCCCGCCCCCTGCTGCTCCGTATCTGCAGAATCTGATATGGAAACTGGTAGTCAGCAGATTGACTTGGATTCTGATTTATAAAAAGACTTTAGAGCTAAAGAAATATTGTAGGAATATAAAATTATGGGATGGAATTTATTTATAGCATCAAAATTCTATGTATAACTTTCATTTAATTTAAACTGCTGAGTTTCTGATGTGAAGAATATGTAAGCAGTTGTTACATTGTGCTTTTTTTTTTTTTATGATGGTTACAGTTTTTGTTACTTTGTATTATGTTTGTATTTTACAAATAAAAATATCCATACATACAGAATAGGGACAGATACCGAGAATTACACCCGGATCCAGGACAGGAGAAGTGGGACTGTGCAGAGTCCATACATATAGAATAAAAGGACATACCAAGAATTACACCCGGCATCCAGGACAGGAGAAATGGTACTGAGCAGAGTCCATACATACAGAATAAGGACAGATACCGAGGATGACACCCAGCATCCAGGACAGGAGAAGTGGTACTGTGCAGAGTCCATACATACAGAATAAGTGGACATACCAAGATTAACCCCAGTATCCAGAACCGGAGAAGTGGGACTGTGCAGAGTCCATACTGTACATACAGAATAAGAGGACATACCAAGAATTACACCCGGCATCCAGGACAGAAGTGGGACTGTGCAGAGTCCATATTGTACATACAGAATAAGAGGACATACCGAGAATTACACCCGGCATCCAGTACAGGAGGAGAAGTGGGACTGTGCAGAGTCCATACATACAGAATAAGAGGACATACCAAGAATTACACCTGTCATCCAGGACAGGAGAAGTGGGACTGTGCAGAGTCCATCCAAACAGAATAAGGACAGATACTGAGAATTACAGGACTTTACCCAACCCACAAACCACTACTTTCATAAAATTAGGTAGTGTTCACGCATGTAGAACTCCAGGACATTTCTTTTCCCCCCTACAGTGGTTCTGTGCCCACACTGCATAGGCTAACTGCCTGATTTTTCCATGGGTGAACGCAGAGCTTATAATCACCTAATTGTTTGATTCTCCGGAAATGGCGCTTTGCCATGTTCGGCAGTGGACTGCTGCTGAGCGGCTTCTGCGGGAAGGTGTGTAATCGCACGGTGCAAAGAAAAACGCTAGACTGAATGCAATCAGCCATCCTCCTGTCCAGAAACGGTCTATGGGTATGATGACATCAGGAACGGTCCACTGCACAAGACCACTAGAATGCAGGAGTCAGGAGTGGCAGGGACTGGTCTTGTGCTGGGCCTGCGAGAATTGGAGGATTAGGTAAGTATATATCTCTGCTCTGCAAAGTCAAGTAATCAAAGAATGTTATTGTGTTTCACATCTGAGCGGGTGCAAGGAAGGTGTGTTCGCACATCTGAGCGGGTGCGGGAAGGTGTGTAATCGCACATGAGCGGGTGCGGGAAGGTGTGTAATCGCACATCTGAGCGGGTGCGGGAAGGTGTGTAATCGCACATCTGAGTGTGTGTAATCGCACAAGCGGGTGCGCACAACTTCCTGCACCTGCAAAGAAAAACACGCTGCTACTTAGTGGAGATGCATGGAGGTACCATTAGCCTAGGTTCACATTAGAATGCAACAGTGTGACAATGGAACACTCAGCCCAGCCTTTCATTAAGGCCCTGTTCACAACTAGCAAATTAGGATTGTGGGCGGAATTACTATGATTCTGTCCACAGTTCCAAATCGCACTGCAATGCTGGCATGCTGGCAGCGGAAAACGCTGCACACGTGACGTGCTCCATTCATTTTTAGGGGCACCACAAATGCGGTGTGGTTTTAGAGTGTTTGTTGAATCGCTTAACAATCACAACAAAACCACACTACATTTTGGTGGCACTAAAAATTAATGGAACACAAACACGTAATGTGTGCTGCGTTTTGCCAGAATTGCAGTGTGATTTGGAATCACAGGCAGAATCACAGCGATTGCACCCACGATCTCAAATCCCTGAATGTGAACTGGCCAAGGACCTAACGCAACAGCACTGGAAAACCCAGCCCAGCCTCAGTCACTATCATTAAGACCCTGTTCACATCTAGCGGTTTTGGACTGGAGTGTGTGCTGTGCGCAATCGACGCATTTCCAAATCACACTACAATGCTGCAAGTGGGAAAATCGCAGCACACATGACTTGTTTGTTAGTCTAAAAATGAATTGAACACAATTGAGGTGAGGACTGCGGTGGATTCCTGGACAGGGAAGTGTCTTATTATTAAAAAGTCAGCAGCTACAGTATTTACAGCAGCTAAATTTAATTTTTTTTATTCGAGGGTAAAAAACCACTTTAAGCCGATTATATATTTCAGAGAATTATGTCTGCATGCTAGGCTAAAACAAATATGTTTGTGCCTGAACACAATTTTGCAACTTTGACATGTCTTAGTAGAACTGTACATGTCATTGTAACTACTTTTTGTGTCCAAGCAAAAAATACCTTGTTGTTATTTCAGGATGAATCAGGTTTTTTGGTGGTAATTGGTAAAGGATATCTCCTATTTTTTTTAATTATCAAAGGGAAACTGGCCCATTATAGTAAAAAAAAAAACAAACAAACAAACCCCACTTTTTTAACCACTTCCAGTCCGGATCAATTCTGACATTCCTCTCCTACATGTAAAAAAAGAGTACCTTTTTTGTTAAAAACTAGTTAGAACCCCCAAACATTATACATTTTTATTAGAAGAGGCCCTAGAGAATAAAATGGTGGATTTTGCATATTTTTATGCCACGTGATATTTGTGCTTCAGTTTTTCAAACACAATTTTTTTGAAAAAATTCATTTTAATGAGTTTTAATCCACCCAAAAAAAAAAAATACGTAAATTGTTTGGTAAAAATATGAAAGATATCAAACAAGTCTCACTTTAAAATTTCATACACCCGTGGAACAATGCCAAACTACAGTACCTAAAAATATCTATGGGCAACTCTTTAAAAGCCTTTACGGGTTACCCCTCTAGAGTTACACAGGAGGTCTGGTGCTAGAATTATTGCTTTCGTTCTGAGGTTCACGGCAATACCTCACATGTGTGGTGCGATCAGCATTTACTTTCTGTGTGAGCATGGGGGGACGGGAGCACTTTAATTTTTTTTTTTAAGTTTATTTATTTTATCACTGTACCTTTTTTAGCAACTTTATTTCTAATACAAATGATGAGTATCATCCCTTGTGATAGCAATAGGCACGACAGGTCCTCCTTTATCAAAAGATCTAGGTTCTAATAGAACCCCAGATCTCTCCTCTATCCTTCAATGCAGCCACGATAAGTCTGATCAACTGGTCGGTAACCAGCCAGTAAACACAGAACTGTCACTTCCAGTTTCTGATGACACTCAGTGGGAGGAACAACATCCATTCCTCTTACTGTCTGCCTAGAGCCAGATGGATGGTAGAGTCGGTAAAGGTAGCGCAGGAAGAGGGGGACCACCGCCTGTAAAAGTAATCCAGTGGCTGTTTAGCCACTTGGATTACTTTTACTAAAGAGAATCGTTGTCCCTAAAAAAAAAAAAAAAAAAAAAAAAAAAAAATTACTGCATACCAGGATCATGACTGTAGCTGCAGTCATGATCCTGGTATAACCATTTCAACCTTAGGCCATTTATACAGGATGGGAAGCAGTTACATTTAGCTGTATATTTCTTGCTATTAACATCATTTATCACTAAAGAACAACCCATAATAAATTTTCCTGCTCCGGACGATTGCAGCATTACCAGACATGTATGTAGTTGTTTGTACCCATAGCTGGGCCCAGAAACAAGAGTGAGCATTTTGCTTTTTTTTATCCAACAATGTATCTTTCTCTCCATTCAGAGGAGGAAGAAGACACATGGGTGGGCTGCACAGTGACTAACCACTGTGATAGCCAGGCGATCAGGGATTGGGTACTGGGGGGTTTTAATTTCCAAATGTTAGTACGAGACCCAGGGCTCTCAGTGAGAGTCCAGTCTCTGTGTTGGCAGCATGCTGTGCAGTGCGCTCCCAGCACAAACACAGGTACACATATGCAGCCTCACAGGAGAAGATCCACTTCAGTGAGGCAGTATGTGTACAGGCAATGCCAAGGGGTTCAGACTGTCTACTGATCAGGCCACAAATAGCAAGATTAAGCACCTGTCATGTCACGACACTGGGTACCAACTGCCAAGTACACAACGGGCCCTTAGACCATATCAAAAATAAAAAGTAAATACTGCACAGCCAGAATTATTCCTGTACTAGAAATGTTAAGACGTTTTTTTAAAATGAATCTGTGGCCAGGCCTCTCTAGCTGCATGTACTGTGTAGTAATTCATTCTCCAAAATACTCAACGATCACAAAAAAGACTCTAAAGTTAGTTTTATTCTGTTCCTAACAGCCTACAAACACTTGCTGTGTGTTTACATTAGAAGGCTGGCAGACTCCTAAGCTGCCATAGAAACTAAAAAATGAAAAGTAATGTGATTTCGGTACCTCTGCTGTGAACTTTGAAGATTAATTTTTCTAAAATGCCTACACTTACAGGTGTGAATGAGGGCTCTGGCATGATATCACTTATAAGAAAACTCTCGCTCTTTCTCAGTATTACACCCATTCTCTTTAGTGTACTTAAATGTACATATATAAACAAGTCAGTATTGATAAACCCCCGTTACAGATATAGTTAAAGTAATACTCTCTTAGAAGCAAAATAATGTGTACACAATTATCAGACAAAGTGAACTTGTTTTTTATGTTTGTAAGATGCCACCCTAATAGAAAATCTGTTATTCCCAGGCCCTGAAAGGCCTCTGGCAAATCACTGGACCATTTAGTGTCCCCTTACCCAGAATCTACACTATGACACATGCAGTGACAGTAACATAAACTTTACTTTATGTTACAAACAGACCAGATGAAACTGATGTAATGGTGAGCATCCCATCTCCTGCAACTGCTTCTTCCATCTTACCACCTTCATGGCTGTGTACTACTATTCTCCCAAAATGCATACTTTGAATCGAGGAGGAGCAGATGAATGACAGGTTCTCTACCGCCCATTCACAGAATGTGATGCGTTTTATGATGAATTAACCCAGTGACGTATCCTCAATGTGTGTAGTGTGTCAGGAACATGTACTTGGGGGGATAGGACCTACTGTGCACTCAGTGACTGAACAAATTGAGGATTTGTGTGGTTGCTAGGGGCTCTGATGGGAACTGGGGGACTTTGATGTGAGCTGGAGGGCTCTGATGTGAACTGGGGAGGACCCTCATGTGAACTTGGGGGACCCCGATGTCAACTGTGGAACTAATGATGCAAATGGGACTCAATATAAAGTTGGTTAGGTTGTCACTTGCTGCCTGGTTGATAAGTAGACACTGAATATTTTATGAAGTTCTTCCTTAAGGTTAGCTGAAATGCAAATTTAATAGAAGAATTTAATAATGATTGTACAATATGTTGTGTCTGTTACACCCAGGTTCTCTTTTACCGTGTCCTTTCAAGACCCTTCACTGTTAATGCAGTCTGACCTCACCCATCACTCATTGTGGTGCACTATGTGCACTGCCTTATTTCTCCACATATTGTTTGTATGGTGTTATAAAAGAGTTTACACACCTTGTTAACCGCTTTCCCCTCCACCCTATAGCAGATATACTGCTACAGGGTGGCAGGGGTGCGCAAAATCACGTATACATACGTGATTTTGCATTTCCGGGTAGGGGACGCACGCCCTACCCCCGCGCCACCTTTCGTGGCTGCCGATCACCAGGTCCAGCCGGTGATTACCCGCCGGCGCACGATGATTACTGAGCATCTCCGATGGGGAAGAGGACTGTTTTGTTTACTAACAGTCGTCCTCCCTGTTAGCTCG